GCGTTCTGACATGCTGCTCCAGAAAGGGCGCTGAAGAGCCGCACTCCAGCTCTTAGGGCAGCCTTTTGCCACCCCTAAAAGGAGTGGTATTTTGCTACTCTTTTCGGGGCAGCAAAAGGATGGGCCCACGGCATGGGGTTGCCACGGCCCCTATCAGCCACAGTCCCCCTAAGCACTCTCTTTTTGCCACTCAGAGAAGGGGGTGGTTCATTTTTAAAATAAGGATTACAGTACTTATGTTCAGGGTCATATTAACTTCTAATCATGGTAACTGGTCTTTCTAAAATCTATGTGTGTTCCAGAAGGGGAATGTCTTTTCTTATTTTTATCAACAAAAGAAGTAAGTGGATGTTGGGTTGCTTATATGTCTGTATGACTTTGATAGTGTTAGTTATATGTTAGTTGATATGTTTTTTACCAGAGCTAAAAGCCACAGTCTGGATCTCCAAATGACTATTGAAAATTTGCTGCACCTTTCCAGGTTTGTGCTAGCTGAAAATCACACAAACTTATTAAAGGCCGGTGGACTGATTTTTAATCCTGTAAATCAAGCAGACTGATATTATATATCATTCCTTGAGTAATTTTATTCAGCACTCTTTAACTTTAGCATGTACCTAGACATGTTAAGCCAATTTTCCCCCCATTGGATATAACTATTTGTAAATCCATTTCCTTCTCATGTCTTAAAACATCGTTCAGAGGCAATTTTAAAAAATAAATAGAAAACATGACTAATTACACCAAGAAAGTAATTTTGTTTAGTTATACCATCGTTAACATAACCAAGTAACTTGCTATAACTATGGTGTAACCAAGTACTTGGTGTAACTTATAACTGATTGTTATAAGATCTGGTCCTTCAAGCTACCAGCTGTTGGAACTGGGGTACTTTTAAACAGGTTTCTGTAATTTCTGTTTAAAAATCTTTAGTTTAAAAAGCATTCACTGCCACTGCAGCAAGAGTTTATTCTACTCCAGTTGTTTTTACCCATTGTATACGTATGTGCCTTCAAGTTGCCTGCTGACTTATTGTGATCCCATGAATTTCATAGGGTTTTCTTAGGCAAGGAATACCCAGAGGTAATTTTACCCGTTCCTTCCTCTGAAATAGAGCCTACAGCATCTGGTCTCCCATCCAAGTACTAACCAGGTCATAGTACTATTTAGCTTCCAAGATCAGAGAGGATCTGGTGCCTTTAGGGTATTTAGGCTATTTTACTCATTACAAGATACTAAATGTGAATGTGAGTGGCTCTAAAAACCAGTATGTACAATATGGACAGAGGAAGCCACCTTATACTGCATCAGACTACAGATTTATCTGCTTAGTATTGTGTATGCTGAAGTTGCAGAGGTTCTTTGTGATTTCACACAGGAATCTGGCTCATTCTTACCTGGAGATTTCACACCTTAATGTTGAGACCTCTTGCAAGTGCATGCTCTGAGAATGGGCTACAATGCCTTCCTCAATTTTAGAATTTTCCATTTGTAGAATGGAAATTCTGTGTCCGCTGGAGGGCCATCTTCGGTAGTTATAATATGGTAACTACTACCACCCACACAGATGCCCCACTGTTTGCTTACTATCAAGACCATGTAGGGTTCTTTATAGAACACTGTTGTGATGTAATCCCTGCTGTGTGAACATATATTCTAAGTAGCATAGACAGATTAATGGTGAGCGGAGAGACGAAGGGGAGCTCATGAGTCGTTTCTTTTTTGCTTTCATACTAACAACCACATCATTGTGTTGCATGCTGCGATTTAATCCCTGCATGCAGTGCGGCTGACTTTCCCATAAGCCATTGTAATATAGGCCAGTCCACTCATAGTCATGTATTGGGTGGCACAAAAAGAAACTCAGACACAGTGCCCATGCTGGCAGAGGGATGCTGAGGGTTGAAGCCTAAAAAGTCATTTTCTTGAGCGCTTGCCTAGACATTCATTTCACTTCCTCAGCAAATAATGAGCTTTGTGGTGGGACCTCAAATGTACTCTTAGCCCATGAGGGATTTGGTATCTCTTGTGTTTATTCTGATTAAACTTTGTAATGCATACTTACTTTATTTACTTTATTTATTGGGATGCATAGAAGTGTGGGTTTTTTTACAAGTTTTGTGACAGCATTCTTAAATTTCCTTCATTAGCAGTCTGTGGTCCTTCTTGGCATTTGAGCAAAGCTTGTGTTCTATCTTTTCCATGAGGCATGGAAATACAGAAAACCAGAGTAACAAAAAATCTAATGTTAAAGCCGTTCAGTTTTGAGATCAAATTAAAGACATTTTTTTTTTTTAAAAAATGTACTCGCCGTACCATTTCACTATAAGGTTATGGAAACACTCCTCTTTAAGAATAACACATTTGATTGAATTTAATGGCTTATAAAACAACTATATTCCTGCATAAGCCCTACCATATTCTCCAAACCTGGAGGGATGCCCCCCTCCCAAATGCTGGACTAGGTTTGGAGTGAATTTTGTTTGGAGTCTCAGCATTGACATATTATTCTGCAGAGTTACACACAAGAGATCTGTATGGAACAGGGTTGTTTTTTTCCTGCAATTTTCCCCTTTTTAAAAAAAAAAAACAGCAAAATAGTCTGCTGGGCTGCAGGGATCAGAAATAGTTGCTGACCACATCCTGATTTATTTGACAGTCTCTGTAATAAAATAACTATTTGTCTAACTCTTCCTGATTAATCTGAAGCATTCTGCCAAGACTAGGATTGGCTAGTCAGGAAACCATGGCTATTTGGACTTTTTGAAGGTCTGTGATATTTGCAAACTTAAATATTATTAGCATTTCAAAAATAATTCACTGCTGTGATGTGGACATTTTCCACACCGCCAGCATAGCCTATGTACCCCTCCCTTCCCCCCCACAACCGAAAAAGACAACCCAGGGGAAAAGAAAACCCATTCCATATTGCTTACAGATGTATCCTGTAAAAATAATTGTTTTTCACTGGATTTTAATGTTTCTTTGACTTTGTAAACATAATGCCTAAGTGGATTTATTCAATAAACGTGGCCCACACTGTAATTGCTTGCATATTGGAGGCCTCTTAAATAAGGAGCAGATTTTGCCCAAACCTCAGCATAGCATTGAAGTTGCCTAACTTGCAGCCTTTGGATTAAGGAGGAGATGGCAAGGAACTCTTTGTCTTGAAACCAGGAGACCATGGCTTCAGAAATTAAGAAAAATGGGTTATTTCACTTCAGTTAGTTGATGCCCCCTATTCTTGTAGACAAGGCTCTTGTTTCCTTCCCCCTTGGATCGGAGATTTCAAAGCCATTTTGCTTAAAGGTGTTAAGTGTGCTTCGTATTCTGTTTTAGGTACCTTTTCAACACCTGTACCCAGAGGTTAGTCCCACCCAAGAAAATATGTCTAGTGCATTCCCAAGTGGAAAACCTGCGGCTAAAATCCCTTAGAACCTGTTGAAAAAGCCTTCATTTTGTGCAGTGCCTTTTAGTTTCTAGTAAACAGCAACAAAGCCAGTCCGTGTGGTTGCTGAGAACAAAGGGCTGTCTCTTCCTTTCACTCATGGGTTTTGTTACCATTGTTTTTACATGTTTGAAAGCTTTAGCATCAGAGAGTACTCAGATGAAACTTTTTTTAAAAGAAAAAGAAAAAGAAAAAACCCACTTCTATAGCAACTATTATGGTTGGCGGGGGATACCTTGTGGTATTAAACGTAAGCAAAAATGTCATGAAAGAAGCCAAAGCTGAACGAACAGAAACTGAACCCTAATTAGATATTGCATGTCAAGTAAGAAGATGACTTGCAAAGCAAAGAAGAAGAAGAAGAAAATCTATAAAATTGAAGTTCAAAAACAAACAGAAACCACATGGACGCTCGTTCCTGTGCAAGATACATTTGGTATAGCTCTCAGTGGGGAGATTAAACCCAAACACATTACAGATTGCCTTGGCGGGTTCTCATGAGTGCTGTGGGAGAGATAGTTAGCCACCATTTTCTTTGTCCTCTTTGTTCATAAAAGCTTGACTGTAAAACATAGTTGATAGCTAGAGTTGTTTGAAGCACGCGGTGTCCTTGACAGCTGAGACTTTTGTTCTTTGAAGCAAGGTTCCATGCTCAGGGAAGAGGATACCTCAGCCCCGTCTCCAAGGCCCAAATCATCCATGTACCTTTCAGCACCCAGAGAGAGAAAGGCAATATTTTTCCATCTCTTATGCCCCTGCTTCAGCAGGAGGAGGAGAAGGAGATTTGCAGGTGTGTTCAGGTATGAACATCAGCGACTGACAATAGTGGCACCTGGTGAGGTCCCCCACCTCCTCGGCTGCATCTGTATCTCCTGTCACGTCTTCCATTTTACATGCTCTATGGTAAGAGCAAAAGAGTAGGAACACAGTACAGGCGGCCCTCCACATTTGTGGCTTTGACTTTTGTGGATTTGATTAGTTGCAGTTTTGATTAATTTGTTCTCTCTAGGAATTTCCAAGTACTCCAGAGCAATTCTACCAGAAGGTGACCATAGAGTTGTGCTGGAGAACCTAGAACCTGGACCTATGGCACACGTGCCAGAGAGGGCACACGAAGCCATTTTCCCTGGCATGTGGAGTAGAGAAGAGGAGGAAAATGCGTGCACCTGTTCCTTTCATACATAGTGTCTGCAGAGAGACGTCTGTGTAGAACAGAAAGCTGGATCAGAAACTTTCACAAAGATGTGCATCTCTGTGGAAGGAAGGTGATTTGATGGTTGAAAAACAACCTGTGATAGAATTCATCTCCTCCCCGGTGAATGTTTTAAAAAGAAAGATAGATACGTAATCACGACCCTCCATTTACTGTAAAAGCCCGAGTGCATATAAAAAATGGCAATTCTGTCCTCCCACACTTGTGCAACCACAATGGGAATTCTTGTTGTTCTAGCTGTGTGCCTTCAAGACATTTTTGACATATGGTGGCCCTGATCATGGGGTTTTCTGGGGCTGAGAGTGTGTGACGTGCCCAAAGTCACCCAGTGGGTTTCCATGGCCAAGTGGGAAATCGAAGCCTAACCTCCAGAGTCATAGTCCAACGCTCAAACCCCTACGCCACATTGACTTCCACTCACAATTGGAGAGTTTTTCAAACAGTGGCACACATGAAATGACACAGGGACTAGAAAATCCAGTGTACTGGCACTGAAGAAAGGAAAAAGTTCAGCATTCAAGAGAGTTATTGAACTATTAGGGAGCTGAAGCTGAAAAAAGAGTAAGCAGCCCAGGATTGCATCAAAGAGTATGTGGCAGTATCTGTGTTTTGAACCCAAATATTTCAGGTCCAATACAATCTCTGTCAAAGATGCACTGAACATCAAATATTCACGCTCTCATAAATATTGCAGGGAGAAGCTTTAATACCAATGGCATTGCATTGGTTTTGTAAGCAGATATCCTGAGAGGCTACTCTTGACTCAAACATGAACACTCAAAACTCCAGGTTCTGCAGCTGCTTTCTCACCTATTTAAAATATCCACCAATACATGCCTGGAATTTGGTGGTTTCTCCCCCCAACCAATCTGCCCCAGACAGTGTTTCTCTTCTAAAAGTATGGCCAGAAATATTACAGTGTACGTAGAGCTTGAGACATTACAATAAACTCTCGCTTTTCTTCAGGTCAGCCCTCTCCAGGGAAGCAAGCCTCACAAATCATGCAGCTAAATTTAAGCAGACAGGTTGCAAGGCAAAAGAATGTTTTTTTCCCCTTTGACCAGGAAGTCTTAAGGCTGGTGCAAACATTTTTCATCCTCATCCTGTTCATCTTTATTTATATCCCTCCTTGTTCACAAAACTGGGACGGAAGGCGGTTTATAGCTAAACACATAGTAGATGTCAACCTTAAAATCCTGTCAGACCAATCATGATGCTAAAGCAATTTAAAACATAGACGTTACAAGGATAAAAAAAGCAATTAAAACAGTTCTGTTGAAGACAATACAGCACACTCTTGACGTCCTGTTCTTTAAAAATTTTCTGTTCTAAAATCATTCTGTTGGAATAAAGAGGTATTTAACTGCAAAAGGAAAGGCAGTCAGGAGGCAGCCATTCAGGCTTCCCTGGGAAAGACGTTTCTTAGGACGTTTTCACACTACCTGGCTTAAGCCGCCTGGAGCCTTTCTGG